AAAAATGTCTTAAAATTGCCCAAGATATTGATAGTGCTGAAGGCATGATGATGGCATATGACTGCATAATGGTCGCATATACAAACATGCAGAAATATGATGACACTATTCTGTATGCGCACAAGCTCCTTGATTGCGCCATGAAAAACAACAATCAGAAGATTATGATGGACGCGTACTTAGAGCTTGGAAGAGCACATCTTGCCTTGAATCATTATCAAGATGCCACTGACTTTGGACAGAAATGCATTAAAATAGCAAGGGAAATAGAAGACAGACGTGGTGAAGTCAAGGCTTACCTATTAATGGGGCAGATATATAACGGTCTTTCTGACTACGACAATGCAATTATCTATGGCAACAAGTGTATTGAGCTTGCAATAACTATTAAAGATAGACGTGCTGAGGCTAATGCTTATAGCTTCCTTGGAGATATACATTATTCAAAGAAGGAATATGATGATGCCATTCAGAATTTCAAGAAATGCATTGATATCGTGAAGCGTTTTGGCCTCGAGAAGAAAGAAGCGGCTACAGCTTGTTTGTGTCTAGGACCGATATATCACACACTGAAACAGTACAACGATGCAGTGCATTATTTCAAGAAATGCATCGACATGGCACAGGAAACTGGTGAGAAAAAGATTGAAGCACAAGGATGTCTCGGTCTTTCGTCTGTATACCGGACATCAGATGATAAGGAAAGCATCGATAATGCCATCCAATACGGTAAGAAATGCCTGGAAATCTCTCAAGAAATTGGCGACAAAAATACTGAGGTGGCCGAACTTCAGTTACTCGCTATAGCATATATAAAGTCGAATCAGTTGGATGAAGTGTCTCAGAGTATAGATGCAGGCATGGCGATTGCTACAGAGCTTGGAGACAAAAAAGCTGAAGAAAAGTTCAAAGAAATTCGTTCTGATCTTTATTTCAGAGTTGGTTTGCTTGACAAGTGTGATGCACCCTCAGTAAAGGAATTATTAGAGGTACCAACATGTTCTGAAGATGAGTTATTACAGGATCTTGACCAAGCAGTGAAGACAGGCGATAAAATAAAGAAACATAGAGCTTCCATCAGGCTTTACAGGTTTTATCGTTCTAAAAAAGAATATGAAAAAACAATCAATTGCCTTGAGCAGTTAAAAGAGATGGACTTGGGTCCTTCTTTGAAATTGTTCTGTTTCACAGAAATCGGGAACTTGTATCATTTGATGGGTGAGAAGGACATGGCTTTACGCAGTTTCAAAGAAGGGCTACCTACTGCTGAGTCTTGCCCTGATACTGTTGGGTACCTATCCGACTTTTATTATTCCTTTGGTAATTTATTGTATTTCTTGAACAGAGAACTGAACTTAGCAGAACATTATCTAAGAAAAGCTATACGAATCTTTGAAGCGATCTTTACCAAACTTGGTAGTCTTGATGAATTCAAGATCTCCATATTTGACCAAGAAATCGATAGTTATAAGCTGTTGGCAATATTGTTAATCAAAGGCAAACAGATCGAGGAAGCGCTTTTAGTGTTAGATCGTTGTCGTGCAAGAGCCTTGAAAGATCTTATGATGTCAAACTTCAAGATGGAACAAGAG